GAGAGAAAAAAATGGCTACAGCATCCACTCCTATTGAAAAATTATACGGCGTTATAAGTAATGTACCAGTGATGCTGACCGAGGAATCCGCGTTGTCCCGGGCTCCGAAAAAAGTCACGATGCAACTCTGCAGGATTCAAAAGCCCCCGAGCGCTTCGCTTCGTGGTGAGTTGAAATTAGTCTCAGGATATTGCGGCTATGTTTTTCATTACATGACCGGGTGAAAGAAGGGGATACTTTCTCCCCGGAGACAGTGAGGACTCCAATCACAGCCAATGACTGGGGCGTCCTTAGATGTATAGTGATTGAACATCTGATTGAAAGCTACCAAGATGCTAATGATGATGATGATGATGATGATGATGATGATGATGATGATGATGATGATGATGATGAGGAAGAGAAGGAGAACCGAGACCCTGCAAATAAGAAAAGGAGATATCCTACAGAACAGCCTGAAAACACCCATGACCCGCTGACCAAAGTGATGAAGCAGAGCGAGACCTCTGCCGCCACCAGCAGCACCCCGCAGGCGAGGGCAGATCCCAGGGTTTTCAAAGCCATATGGGAAACTCATGGCACCAGCTCGGGGTGATGGTATTACAAAGCTCCACTCCAGCGACCAAACTCTCTTGGGTTTTTTCATCCCCAGCAACAATGAATCCTTCCAAGACTGAACCTGCAGCTCCTCAGCCCTCTCCAGCTTTATCCACGGACTCTGAATTCGAATATCTGCTTCAGCCTGTCAGCAGCAGCAGCAAAGAGGAGGAAGAGCCGAAGGAAGAGGAGGTGGAAGACAGTAGCCAGAGCAGCGTCAGTAGCACCCCGAGCAAGGACAACACAGAGGAGAGAGAAGCATCTCCTCAACCAACTAGTACACCCCTCACGGATCTTGACACAGTCAGTGAGGAGCCCGAAGGGGGATGTGGTGATGAGCTAGATGGAGCTATGGTCAACCTTTTTTCTGACATTGTAAAGTCTCTTGTCACCTGCGTCTTGTACACGGCAATTCAGGATTACAACGAATATTTGTGTTTTGGCTGCAGGATATCGCATCCCAGCCAGAAGCAGCACACTTGCCTTTTTGGCATTCCGGACAATTTTCTGAACACCCATTATGAGGGTTTGAAGAAACGTGTCCTGACAGACCGTTTCCTGGTTGCCGCGTCACAGTTGCTGGACAAATACACCATCCGTGTCTCTGAGGAGAAGATCAGAGGAGCTGCAGAAAACATTCTACTAGAGCTAAAAGATTCTGAGGACCTGGAGAAAGTTTTGAGTGAAACGGTTGCCTCCTGGGTGGGAGATTCTGTTTTAAAAATTGTGTATTTGCAAGAAGCTGAGAAGCTGTGGGCCGCAGAGGAGCAGGAGTAATAGCGGTTCATGCTGCTATCTGCATGGGTTTTTATCTTTTTTGTTTTTCTTTAAAAAAAAAAATCATCCTAAAGGCATTTATCCTTTTGTTGTGTGAAAAGAATTTATACTTTTGCTGTGTTACATAAAAGCTGCCAAATTTTTCTCAGGGGGTTAGGAGTAATAA